ATAGTATTATCCACTGACCACAAAGAATTGGTGTTAACAGTTATGGCAGATTCTGATAGCCTTTGTGCTTCTGGCCAGGTGGAACTGGGAAGCAAAATGAGGCAATGGATAATTAACTACAAATCTCTAGATGGATTTCTAGCTAATGTAGAAGGACAATTCTAAACTCAATCATGGAAGGTTATAGAACTGCAGATACTTGCTTAGACTATGGTTTGAGTAGCAAGAAAGAATAGATTCATATTATGGTTCAATTTGTACCCCCTACAGTGAAGAGTCTTGTCTCTTGGAGAGACAAAGAAGTTGAGGTTATGCAGGAGAATAAGGGAGTGATAGGGGATACCAGAAAACACTGTAAAGGACAGACTCATCCCAGTACCCTTTGCCACGGACCCACCTGCTGACTGGCGCTCATCACTTGTATTGGCTTGCTAATGTACACGTCATTGGTCAAATCATTGTAGGTTTCAACAGCAAAGTCCACAGCTTTCTGCACCTCCTCATCATTTGGATCAGCAGGCTCCACATGTCCCACTACCATATTCTTGGCCTCATCATTAGTACTGGTTACAGGACATGCAGCTATGACCAGTGTCAGGGCTAGAGCAGCCCACAGGGACAATGAGAGGCTCTGGTTGCTGGCCATGGTTGATTAGAGTGGAGCTGCAGAGGAACAGAAGAATCCAGAGTGTTCTTGGTGTGCTGCCTGGCTTTTTAACCTGCAGAGTCAATTGCCCAGGTCCTCCTCAGTCAACCCTGACTGGCCCCACCCCAGATCCTCCTTTCCCCAGACTTACCAAACCCTCTTTGTTTCTCCTCTTCTTCCACCTCTGGGATCTTCTTTCCCCAGTCTCGACACCTTGTCTTGTGTCTTTTCTTTTTCCACCGCCACTTATATCTTATCCCTAATCTTCCCCCCTATGAGTCTTCTAGCTAAGATCTCATAAATCCATGTCACTTCTGTCTCCACAAATAAGTCCTTACCCTTCCGGCTTTGAAAGGCATGTGGTTTTGAGGTTAAGTTCTTCCTAAGAGATAAAAAAAATGTCATCTATGCTCCCTGAGGTCTTTGCAGGTCAGGGGCAGACATAATACCAATACCTGGAAATCCCCAGCACAAGGATGTTATTTCAGAGGTTCCAAAGACAACCAGTGCCCTTTCATGAGTAACTTCTTTGCCAAATGCATGGAATTAACCTTTATATGGAAAAGAACAAATGATTTCCTCTACACAACTAACAGGTATCAGTTAATGAACTGAGTAAATGAACTTTCTAGAACTTTTCCTTGGGCCTGGATCTCTAGAACTTAGAAAAAGATTTTGGTGACTAAGCCTTATATATGGCATTACAGTTAGCAGCTCAATACAGAAAGGACGTGAACCTATATATAGTTTTAAATTTTCTAATTTAAACATTAAAAACATTAAACATTAAACATGTATGAAGAAGTAGGTGAAAATTTCAAAAAAAATTTTATGACTTAGCATATCAAATGTTATTTCACCATGTAGGAAAAATTCTTCATAGATATCTTATGATCCTTGGTGCACATATGCATTAAATTTTTGGATTTTGTGTTTGTACTATTATGGCAGATAGTATTTCATACTGGACTTATTTCTAGCAACTCATGGCTATGTGTACATAAACCATAATAAAATACAATCAATTAGTAGGCTGTGTTCTAGAGAGAATCAATTAAGATCAGGAAATTATAAGTGCCCTGCTTGCTGTAAATGAGAGAGTAGGGAAGCCAGAGAGAAACAGGTGCCACTGGATACTTGTGAGGGAGTGACTTTTGAGATCTTAAAAGGATACAAGCTTCTGTCTAAGGCACTGAACCAGAACTGCAGACAGAGATTACAACTCTGAGACATTACTGGCCTTTCCTCTTCTAGAAACAAGGAGTAGTTGAGGGCATCTGAGTAATAAAGGGGTACTATAGGGTCTTTCACCCTGGCAGGTGTAAGCACAATGTATGTGGGGTGTGGGATCAAGCTGAGGAGAGGGCAGATATATGAATGCTAGTGTATGGTCTGTTCTTGCTTCTTCACTCAGAGAGTCTCAGTGTGATCACAGCATTCTTCTCTCTGTTTGGAACACTTACCTGCTGTTCCTGAACTCACTAGGAGGAAGACAAAACTAACAAAGGATGAATGCTCCATCTTGTGTGGAGGAATTTTAGTGAGTGCTTACATCTGTGACCCCCCTCCAACAAACCTAGGTAATATGCTCAGAAAGCTCTCTGCTGCCTGATCACACCCAGGGCTGTGCCTGAAGGTGTCTGTGCCTGAAGACTTGCCATTACTTCTACCTCTGGTCTTCTAGGAAACAGATTTTCAGCAGTATTTTTAGGTGCCAGTATCTCAAGGCTCTTTATTCTTAACCCAGATTGTCAGTTCTCTCTTGCTATGAACCACAGGTCTTGGTGCTGGGACCCTGCCTATGGGCAACAAGTGAATGAAGAAAAGACAAATACATAAACACATGTAGAGTGAATCTGGGATCAGATGCAGCTTCTAACCACTACCCTTCAGTGTGTTTGTTGAGTACAGCAGTAGGTTGGAGGTCAAATAGAATGTTAAGAATGTTTCTGTAGGAGAGCAACCTCAGGCTGTAAACATCAGAGAGACGCAAGCTGTTGTTGCCAGTCTTTGCACACTTATCAGTTGCTAATAAACACTCTTAAATGGACTCTCAAGAAACACTTCACCATTTTCTTGAGTTGGCCCATATGGGTAATATTTCTGGATTATTCCATAGGTCTAAGGCCTGGGGAAATCCACAAAATAGATGTGTTAATGTCAAAATACACATTAACTCAGGACTTCATTCACTTGGGGCTTTATCTGCTCTCTAAACTTGTTCTCTCCTTGTGTATAAACATTTTAAGCTTGCTACTCTGTGGGTTGAACCAAATTCAGTTTAGGACAGTGAAGGCCTGATCTGACATGTGTCCCTGAGACTGAAATTGGTATACCATATTCTGAATACACAGGTGGTTCAATTATTCTTTTGATCTTGTCCTTTGTATAGAAAAATGATGCTATGACAAAGGACCTTAGAATGAAGACATCCCATGTTGCTAGAAACATCAGGTGGTGCTTAGTTGATTAAATGGCACCAAGGCCAGTCGTGGGAGTGGAGGAGTGGTGGTCAGCTGGCATCTGTTCAGCCCTGCTCTGGCCTTGGGGCTGGTAGTAAGTGAGAGCTGGCCAGAAGGAATGCAATAGGAAGAATCCAAGGGCCCTGTGTATAGAGATACAGAGGAATCAGCAGGTGCTAAAGTAGAAGCTATAACACATGATACAGAATATACAGTTGAGACAGTCAAAGAAGGTTGCTTGAGTGAACTAGAGCTTCTCAATGTGTGCGAGACTGCCTTAGATCAGAGGAAGCTGCCTAGGACTTGCGCAACTTGTATGGAGAAGTCAAGGTCTAATTTCAAAGCTTCAAAGGACAGATTGATTCTCTTATTAAGGGTCAACGTAGTTAGTGGCTCAAGTGACTAAACAGTGGAGGTCACTGTTCTTTGTTGTCTTGACAATCCTAGTTTCCTTAAGATTACACTAAAGTATCATCATTCCAGGATGGCAGGACACCCATTTACAACACGGTTCAGTGAGTATTTGATGCCCATATTGAGTCTTGCTGTTCCAAAACATTCCTTTCAAAATATCAGTGGTCATGGGCATTGCACTTTGTCATCTAAGAGTTCTGACAGAGGTGGATTAATGTAATGCAGTCTCTAAACTACTAGTAACATCTGTTCTACAGCCCATGCATCAGAGTGTCTTTTGGTCATCCAAATCTTATTATTTAATTAATCCATTTGAAAGGCTGTAGCCCTTATCAATATTGACTCTCTGAAGTGGATACCTGAGGTTCATGGAAAGCGATCAAAATAGCAACATAGATTTTAACTGAAGGTATATAAGTTTTCTCTGAGGGGCTAGCAACAATTTATATTCTTCATTCCTTAAATTTGGTTTCTTGACTATAACAGGTGCTGTTGATACATTAGATTAATAATAATATAGCAGCTTATAAAATGTTATCAAACATTGTCTCTCACTACATGGATTTTTTTAAATAAAAAGTCAATCAATTGGACAATATTCATGAGTGTGTTATTTTTGAGAAAATGCCACAGTGATTTCTATCATTTAATAGCTACCATTGTGATCAATCAGAAGTAGTAACATCCTGGAAACTCTGCACAACTGAAAGGTTACTACCCTGTGGCTTCTGATGATTGACTGTATTATCTTTAGCAATAAAAGGCTTTTTAATTAAGGGGTATACATTTTTTCTAGGCTATTGCACAAAAAAAGATTCCAGTTCACTGTAAACATAACTTTATTTGCACTAAGAAACTAAAAGTTTTTGTTATTTGGTGTATTGTTATGTTTTCTTTTTGTTAATACTAGTAAGCTTGCCTAGAATTATAGACACTTATAAATGAATAAGTAACCTGTCTGTAAAATTATTATGGCTATATCAACACATAGTCTTTATTTGCAAACTAAATCTTATGAAGAAATGTTGCCTAAAATAAACAATTATCTTAAATTTTCATTAAAATTTCTTTTCGTATAATGTATTTTAATCGTGATTTCCTGCTCCATAAACTCTTCCCAGATTATCCTGTGGAACTGGAAGTCACTCTTGCTGCTCTCAGAGGAAAAAGGCAATCATCAATGTCACCCAGTTACAAACCCTATGATCTACAGTGTGACCTATGTGCAAGATATACTGGTGCAATAGAGGCACAAATGCTATGGAAGTAACCAACCACTTTTTGATTGGATTTAAGACCCACTTCATGAAATGAAACCCATACTTGACACAGCTAAGCGGCCAATAATATGAGACTAGATAGGTTGCAGGCCCTACTGGAAAACCTATCGCTATTGCTCTGCTAAAGAAACATAGCAATAAAACAACTCCTAATGAATTTTTTGTTTTTATTTGTATATATTTATTCTTATTTATTTTATATACCAATCACAGTTTTTCCTTCCTCCCCAATTCCTGCCGTCCTGCATCTCCCCCAACCCACCCCCAATAACTCCTCAGAAAGGGTAAGACCTCCCTTGGAGAGTCAACAAGGCCTGGTATATTCAGTTAAACAGGACCAAGCCACTCTTTCATGCATCAAGGCTGAGTGAGGCATCCCACCATATGGAATGGGATTCAACAAATCAAATCATGCAACAGGAATAGATCCTGGTCCCACTGTGAGGAGTCCCACAAACAGGAGTCCCACATGTAAAGGGCCTAGTTTAGTTCCATGTAGGCTTTCCAGCTTTGATCTAGAGTCTGTGAGCTCTCAAAAGTTTGGGTCAATTTTCTCTGTGGGTTTCCCTATCACGATCTTGACTGCTCTTGATCATATAAATTCTCTTCTCTCTCTAACTGGACTCCCGAAGCTCGGCATGGTGCTTGGATGTGGATATCTGCATCTGCTTTCATCAGTTACTTGTTGAAGGTTCTATGATGACAATTAGGGTAATTACCAATCAGATTACAAGGAAAAGCTAGTTCAGGCACCCTCTCCACTATTGCTAGGAGTCTTAGCTGGGGTCATCCTTGTGAATTCCGGGGAATTTACCTAGGATCAGATTTTTCTTAGCCCTGTAAT